AATATTTCAGGAGCTTCGCAGAAATCCAGAGAATTCCAGGAAAGTTTAAAGGTGTTCACGAGAATTCCATTTATTTTAAAGCAGAACCAAGATCTTCGTTAGAATTGAGAGCTTTAGAGAAGCTCCGAGAACATCAAGAGAGATCATAGAATTGAAAGGCAGTTAAAAAATATCAAGGAAATTGCAGAACCCTTAAAGAAGTTTAAAGATAATTTTCGGGAGCTTCGGTTTGCTCAGAGAAAATTTCTGGAACGCAATAAAAATTATATGAACATCCGGAAAATGTGAGAGTATTTGAAGGGTACTATATCATGGAAATTTCGAAAATGTAGCTAAGTTGATTAGAGAACATCAACGAAGTTCCATTAATTTAAAAAAAAATGCTAGAACTTTTGGCACCGATATTTTCAAGAAATTCCAGAGAAATTATAAGAAATTTAGATATTTTTAGATTGTTTCGTTATATTCAGTGAAGTTCCGAGTGCTTCGAGGACGACCAGATAACATCACAAAAATCCCATTAACTTAAGGAAATTTGCAGCAACTTACAAGGAGTTCCTTGTAATTATGGGATATTCCGAGAATTCTATGATTGATCTGAAAACTTCAGAAGATGCACGGAATTATAAATATATATATCAGAAAATTTACCGGAACGTTTGATCAATTTAGAGAAATTAAGGTAAGCATAGAAAACTTCCGGGCTGGTCATTCCAAGGAAAATTGGTTATTTAAGGCAAAGTTCCGTGGGCGTTTATAAATTTTATAAAAATTGAGGAAAATGGTAGAACTGAAAGGCAATTCAATTAATTCCAGTAAAATTGTGGGTTCTTTAAAAAAAATACTAAGATATTCTGGGCTTTCTAAAGAATTTTAAAGAAATTGAGAAATATTTTGGGCAGTTTTAAAAACATCAGGAAGTTCTAGACTATTGAAGAAGCTATGAATTAGTTTCGAAAATCGACTAATCTGGAGAACTTCAGTGAATATCATAGAACTATATCAATTATTTCGTTGCGGGAGCTTAAAGAAGTTCCTGAAATTTCAGAATAACTTCAAAAACTTCACAGAAGTACAGAGATCTTCACAAACATTTCGAGAACTTTATGAAAGTCTGTGAAACTTGAGGCAAGATCCAAAAACTTCAGGAACTTATATGGACATTTCGGGAGCATTTCAAATAAGTTTAGTATAGTTTTAAAAACAAGGGGAATTTCAGTGGAGTTCAGTTCCATTAGTTTTACTAAATTAGCGAAAAATTTCAAGTAGTTCCCAGATTTTTAGAGACCTTTAGAGATGTTAAGAAAATTATTGAGATTTTCACAAGTCCAGAAGCTCACGGAAGCTTAAACATTTTTAAAACAGTTAAATTAAATTCAGCGTAGTACAACAAGCTTCATGAGAACTGCAGACACTTTAGAGTAGTTTCGAGAACTTTAAGAAAGCTATTGATCTCGCTAATAAAGCTCTAAAAAAAACTTCAAGAAAGAACAGATATCCAAATCAGAGTTATTCCAGAGCAGGGAAATTTCATAAATTTTAAAAAAGTTTCAAGAAATTCAGTGAATTGTTAAAACTTTGGAGAAGATTCATGATCGTTAGGAAAATTGTGGGCCTCCCTTGGCTCAGTCGGTAAAGGCGCAGCTACAAGGCAAGACCATGCTGGAGGTGGCTGGGTTCGATTCCCGGTCCGGTCTAGGAATTTTTCGGGTTGGAAATTTTCTCGACTTCCCTTGGCATAGAGTAGTGTGATTGTACTTGCCACACAATTGAACTAATGCAAAAATGATACAGGCATCGAAAGCTCTCAATTAATAACTGTGGAAGTGTATCTAGAACACTCAGTTGAGAGCACGCAATAAGCTTGAAATGCGAATAAGAAGAAGAAGAAGGAAAATTGTGGAAACTTTAGGAAGTCCGAAAAAGTTAAGAGAAGTTCAAAACAATGTTGAGAAGTATTGTGAGCATCTGGCTAGTTTCTCAAACTACAAAAGAACTTCAAGGCAGTTTCATTAACTTCAGGAATATTTTGGGATCTTTCAAGTAGTTCTGATGACCTCAGAATAGTCCATTCCATATTCAACGGAGATTTTTCATGAAAATTCGCTTGGAGTTCTCCTCATCATTCGTTCGTATTTTCCCGAAACTCTCATGGAATTATTTCAAAAATTTACTTGGAACGCTTCTCTGAATTCTCTAAAAAAAATATCACAAGAATATGGTTAGAATACTTCTTGCAACTATCCTCCGAATCAAATTTTCTTTTAATTTTCATAGGAATTGCCTTGAAATCCTCCTCAGTAAAAAATCCTATGGAAAAATTAAAAAATTGGAAGAATTTTCAATGAATTCATTACATATTTATTTTTTAATCTCACTCCTTCTCTTGGAATTCTATTCACATTGAAAGCCTCCTAAGAATTAATTTTCATTTCTCCCCACAAATTCCTTAGGTTTCTCTACTTAATTTGTTTGGCAATTTCTCCTGGAATTATTTTCCGAATTTCATTGAAGATCTCCTAGAGTTATTCTTAGATTTGATTGTAATCATCCTTTTAGCATCCCCTTCATTCATTAAAAATTACTAGGGATTATGCTCCGATTTCAAATGGTTGAATGAAAAAAACTAGGAATATTGAATGTTTTTATTTTAAAATGCATTCTTTTCTTTGAAATATCCTTAGTAGAAAAATATTAAATTTCCTGAGGTATTTTCAGGAGAAATTGAATTCCCTGAGAATTCCCGGCTTTTCAGGTTTTTTCAGGTAGTATACACTTGGAGGCTTCGTCATAAAGTTTCTATTGAATCTTTCGCTTTAAAGGTTCCTATCGTACATATTTAAGTGTTTATGAGATTCTAATTTAATAAATCTAAAACATCAAACATTTATTTGGCATGCCATCAGAGCTATTTGGTCACTTATTTCTTCAACATGGTCACTAAAATCACTATTTTTGACAGCATTGATCGCTACACCAGCCCTGTGTGCATCACCAGAGCCGCATAGGGCCAACGTGGAAGACTTGCTTTTGCCTCGTTTAGCTTTCTTGATTTCTTTGTTAAGCCTCCGTCGCAATGAGCCCCTAGGTCTGCCTATGCTGGGATGTCCTGCCAGATTTCAGATTTGATTTCCATCCCCTTCAGGCTGTGTGGTTGACCCACTTCCTCTTCTGTCCTTGAACTTCTGTTGATATCGGCTTCTGATTACATCGACGATGGAGCTCAGCATGCGAGATCCAGTTGTGAAGCCACCAGGCACGAATTATATAGTGCAGGCAATGGATGATGAATATCTTCAGCTCTTGAATGTTGGAAATGATCATACGGATTTTGGTGCGTTTTTTAATCTGATTTGATCTCCAGACATTTCGTAAACTTGCAAAAGCAGCTCTATCCTCCTTGATTCGTGCACCTAAAAAGTGAACATCGATCGTATTCCTTGATGTGCTTCAACCACCAACTAAAGCTAATTCGTTTTAAGTTCATACGTTTTAAAAGTTGCATAACAATCAAACTAAAACTCATCATTCAAATATTATTCCAAAACCCCACAATCAAATCCAATAATATGCGCTCTCACACTGTATAATAAATTCTCCAAAAGCAGTCATTCGCCTTTTACTTTACAAAACGAAGTGAAAGTTCGATTTGAATAGATCCACCCACTGAACCGCGGTTCCCATGCAGATCTGTCTCAACACACGATGTCACATAGTGGCATTCAATCGTTCCAAGCAAAAGACCTCTCAAACACTAAACCTCACTACACCTCGCTACTCAGTCGCAGGTGCGCAATAAGCCCAAAACCTTTACACAGTTAACTAACCGTAACGCGGCATTCCCAGCTTTCGATACTGATGCTATACGAAGGGTTTCAATCATACGAATCAATGCGGTGACGTCGCTCGGTCGCCGATCGACCTTCCCCTTTCAATCATCTTAATCGATGGGCGGTAAATTAATCTGTCGCTACTGGGAAAAGCATCGCCGACGGGCTTTCGCATCTGACCGGTCAAACACTGACGCGGACGGTTGTATTTGCTCTCTGCTACCATATCTAATGACGATGGGGGAGGGGGGGGGGGGGGGGGGGGCAGACTGATCCAAGAGAGAGTGAAATTGTTTGTATCACACACACCAAAACTGAACAATCCTACGGTGGCAATGCTCCACGTGCTGCTAATTATATGCTTCGAAGCAATCTATATACATATATACAGTAGCCCTCAGCTCGGAATCCATCATGATTATAAAAGTTGATGGATCACCACGTTGGATCCTGTATCTCTCGTTTAGGCTGATTTACTATGCAAAAACGTTCACAGTAGCGAAGCTGCTATGGGCGGTTCTTTACGTTTTGTCAGTGGACTTATCTCCGGAAAGATTTAACTCTAAACTAAGTTTGTTTAGTTTTGTTTTGTTCACGTTCAGCCTTACATAGTTACAAAGATTATCTCTGATGGTGAGTCGCACCCATATGTGTGTTCAAATTTTGCATTTTGTCGCAGTCGCTGTGGCGGGTCATAAAGTACCTCTACGGTTTGCTCCCACACTTCAAAAAGCTCGCGCGCCAAGCCGAAGTGACCTCGTTCCCGTCGGCATTCGCTCAGTCCCGCCAGATCCATCTATGGTGAAACATAAGATTAAACATCCAGGCGGGTGTCCGTAAATCTGGCGACTATCCACACAATGGAACCGTAACTTAGAAGGAAATTTATTTTGCGACATGTCTGTGTGTCGAGGTTTGGTCATAATTTTATGTTGCGTGTTTGTTGGTTAGTCATTGGTTTTGTTCGTTTGTTTTTGTTCATCTTTTTTTGTAGTTGTATTGTTTAGATTTAGTTGTTTGTATTTCTATGTAGTTTTTTAGTTATTAAAGTGTGTGTTTTCCTTTCTCTTTCTTCCTGTACTGTATTCTTGTTTTGTGATTATGCTGTGCGTGTTGCATGTTTACCTTCCTATCCTTCACACTTCAAATGTAATTACCTCCACACCTCAGATGTATTCGAAGAAAGCGAAACCGACCTGGCGAACGAACGAGCATCGAGATCGTCGAGATCACCGGACTCCGGATTCAGGAGCAATCGAACGTCCCAGGACCGTAAGACTTCAAGTAAGTACAGTCTCTGTCTCATGCATGTGTTATAATATTTTATTTTTTTAAAGCATGGTTTGATGTGTTGTTGCAAGGGATCAGCAAAGATCGGAACGAAGTTAGGTAAAAGTTATCGTGCCCAGTAGCTTATTTTGAGTATGGAACATTTTTGAGCTTTTTGAGAAAATTGTTCGTATTTTTTAATAAAAATACAAAAATATGTAACTCAAAGTTATCAAAGTTGGTAGAAGACATATGATGAGGTAAAGTAACCGATATATTTTTCAAAATTAAAGAACCAAATTGCCATAAGAAATTCGTCTTTTTTTGGACAATATTGCTAGTTGATTTTTGTTCTCACTTCAGTCCGGATGTACTTGATACTCAAAGTAAAATATTCAATATGCCATTTGAAAAATATATATACACTGAAAATAAAATTTTGTATATCAAACAAAATCGTTCGTTTGTTCCACACATCCATTAGTTGTTATCTGCGCAATTGATTCGTACGTTATATGAAGCTAATTTCGTATAAACTGCCCCACTAGCTTCTAATTTTATTTCGTATTAAGAACGAATGTTTAAAAAAATAATACAAAAAATCCTAGGATTTAAAATACCACGAAACATTCAGGTACCCATAAAACGACATGCGTACATTTTAGGAAAACAGTAAAAAATGGACACTAAATTATCATTGAAAAATAAAATCATAACGGCGCCGGTGGTGTAGTGGTAAGCGTGATTACCTCTCACCCCAGCAGGCCTGGTTTCACTCCCAGTCGGCGCTGACGGAATTTTCTGAGGCACAATATTCTGGAAGAAAAGCCGTTGGTCCCCGGTTCCTACCTCATGGAGTTGGAGCTGCCCCCCTGGCCTCCATGGCATTGGTGCTCAGCACGGAAAACAAATCAAGGGAAACCAAAAAATAAATAAGATCATCTTTCTGTCTATCGTTAAATGTACGAAAACATTTCGAAGAATACGAACACCTTAAACAAGGTTGCAAATACTCATTTCAGCTAAAACAATGTTTTTTTTAATTATGAAATAATTAGATGCTATGATCATATTTTGAATTGGTGAGATACAAGAAGAGGTTGCAATGAACTTGATTGACATATTAAACCTTTTTATTTCACGTCATGAGAGTCACAATCAGCGATTTTTAACACACTCACTCACTCACTCACTCACTCAATCACTCATTCACTCACTCACTCAGCGATCAGCAAATCGCTGATTGTGACTCATAGAAAGCAAAATTTACAGGTTTTATGACTCAAACGTATACTTTGTAACCTCTTCTTGTAAGTTACAAGTAAAACATGTCATCATACCATCTTTTGGTTTTATTATTCCGAAAAACATTATTTTAGCTGAAACGAGTATTTGCAACCTTGCCCTTAAACCAACATGGGTACATGATACGAAAAAATATAAAGGGGCACAAACATTTCGTATAAACGAATAGTTTCGTAGCGTTGATAGTTCAATAGCTACTATGTAGGAATGATTTTCGTATTGTGTTATAACTTTCATACGAAATTCAATTAATGAATTGTACGAATCATAGGTAATGTTGGCATTTTACCTCACGACATGTAATACGAATGTTTCGTAAATTAACGAAAATATTGTTTGATGTACGAAACCCATTTTTAAAAAATGAGATAAATAACGAATATATATTTTCAGTGTAGATATATGCGTGAAAATCGAAACTTATCTAAACAGTTTTCGGAAATTGTTTATTTACGGCTTCAAATCAAAATTAACATGCAATTCTTTTCAAAATTTCCATAATATTAATCTCACAAAACTCTCCAAAGAAATGTCATGGTATCCTTCTTATAATATCTTTGAAACTATCCTGAAAGTTCGATCTTTTTTTAAATTCTTCTCAAAATTTTCTTTGAACTTTAGTCAAAACTCTTCTCAGAAATCCTTCGGAAGTCTCTTCTGAAATACCTTGAAATTTTCCTCAGAAATCCGTTGGAATTTTATTGAAACTTTACCAAGAATATATTTAAATTCTCCTCTAATTTTTATTGAATTAACCTCAGAATACTCTTCTTTTCTCGGAATTCCCTTAAATTATGTTTATAATTCTATTTGAATTCCCATGAAAATTTTCTGGAGATTCTCTTTAAAATAAACCTGCTGTTTTGCTCAATATCTTCTGGAAGTTCTCCTAACAATTCCAATTATTTTGACTATAACATAGCAATTCAATTCAGAACTTCCTTTCTTCCTCTCAGTTGGAATTCATCTCAGAATTATTTTGGAATTCTGGGCAGAACTCCTGAGATTTTTTCCACATTTTTTTAAACACTCCAAACACGGATGCCTCCGGTAAAATGTGTAACGGCAAACTTGCAATGTTTGAAAAATCATTGCTCAGCCATTTATTAACGAGTTTCAAATCTGTTGGCTCCCTGAAGCTACAGACTTTAAAGATTGTTGGTGACTTGCACTTCGTGCATCGCGACTGGAGCTGTTGCAGGTACTCTGGGTACCATCTGGACCAGATTCTCTAGAACCGCTTCTATGTGAGCTCCCAGTGCGTACGACGATTGTCCGGAATGTCGCACAGATTATGTTCCGGGACGGCTTGGAAGCTGGTTTCGATCAGGAAGTGTCCAGGGGTGAGGACTTCCATATCAGTAGTTATGGTTATGAATGATTCGATGGTAGTTTTCTTGATGGTTGTCTTCAAGGCACGGAAGTACCGCATCCAGTATGCGATGGATCGGCGAAGCTTGCTGAAGCTGGAATATCGATTGAACAGTTGATCGGAAAATCTTGCATTAAGAGTAGTTACCATGGCTACTCGGCTTCTCGTTGCGGACATCCAAAGCGGACCAAGGACGCGAAGATCGCTTACGGGTTAGTCAGATGGTGACATGGGTAACCATTCCGGACCACTCCACCAGAGCAAATGATGTCAACTGGATTAACGCCACGGGAGAGAGGATCAGCTTCATCAACTTCTTTTTAAATTTACCTCAATTTCCCATAGGCATTCGCGTTAGAATTCTTTTGAATGTTTTTTTTTTAATAGTTTGAAACCTGATTTTTTTGCAAGTCTCAGAGCCTTGAACATTTTCCTGGGCCGATATTATGATTTTTTGTACAAATCTAGGATCTGGGAAATTTTTCGAAATCCTTTAATTTTGAGTATTTTTCTCAGTCCCAGATGCAGATTCTGTGTTTCAGGGTCAGAGTTACGACCTATCACAACCACGATCGTCAAACAGCTGATGGTAGTAACGCTTGGTACATTCCTATCAATGTGCTTGTCGAAGCACTCTCCATGACCATTAGACTGATGCAAAAGTTTGAAATTTCCGCTCCACAGTGCTCAAACGGTTTCAAATTGGGCCCTGATTAGTCTCCCAAAATTTGAACTTATTTAGTGAGAAACTGACTTGGCACAATCCATTTGAAGTTTATGTGGAAATTACTATGAAGAAACCATAATTTCGGTTCATATCGATCTCAAAATTCACCAGTTCACTCTACTTTAGAAAATGATTGCTTAGCTTGTTTCCCAGTTACAACTTTGTTGAAGACCACTTTTCGATCAAATGTAAGGAACAAAAATTATTAATAATTCAAGTCACTGATGTCTTATGATTATGATCAATCAACTGTTCAGCAGGCAACATTGGTGTTTATGGCGCGTAGAATAGAGGACAAAAATCATGGCTACTATGTCACACTGCAGAATACAGTGTTGCCCACAATACAGTTGCTTAATCTTGCCATAAAATTATCAATCTCTTAAACAAATAATAACTATTTAATTTGACGTTTGGCTGAAAAACAATTTTCTGCAAAGTTGTAGCTGATAACAATTCTCATAAGAATAGCAATAGAATTTGTTAACAGTACAATATGGAAAAAGGCTAGAAGACAAAGAACAAAAAGTTTTGTGTTCCCATAGTAATTTCCATATAAACTTCTACTGGTTTGTGCCAAGTCAGTTTCTTATCAAATGAGTTTAAACTTTCGGAGGCTAATCAGGACCCGATTTGAAACCGTTTGAACACTGTGGAGCGAAAATTTCAAATTTTGCATCAGTCTAATGACCAATATGACCATCCAACAAGTGGACGAAAGAAGTAACTGGTGAATGCCGTCTTTGGTTATCCATCACCGATCTGGTCATTCCCGACAATTACGACACTCATCTGTGCTCGTTTTGAAGTAGTTGCTGCTTTGCTTGCTTATGTGAGTGTGTTGCTGAGTGAGCCCAACAGCTTCCGTATAATTTATCCAGCTTTGTTTGTACTCACACAGTCGCACTTGCCGAGACGAACTTGGAATGCGTAGGCATTGTAGGCATCAGCAGCGAGTGTTACGTTTTGCCTGTGAGCAGCGACCGTTACTGGTGATTGTTGTTTGCCATGGCTCTACCCCTCACTGCGTGACAAAACGTTCTGTCAGCGTTTGTCGGTTGATGCGTTGCCGAGTTTCGAGTGAGTGTCATGATATTTTTCATCACTGTTCAGGGCAGTGCTGCAAAATCTCGATAGTACACGGTGATATTGACAATTCTGCTTTGGTCACTCATTGGAGCTAACAGTCATAGTCAAGGCAAACCATGTCAATTGTCAATGACAATACTGTCAGTGACGAACATGTGCAGATTAATTTATTAGCTAAATTTGTTACGAAATTAAATGACTTGACCAAAAAAATTACATGGATCCATTTTAATGAACAAGCATCTACGTCCTGAGCTACTTGGATAACAATAATGTGACACAGAATGTACTAAATTACACTTTTTGTTACCAGGTGAAGCTTTGTCATTGACGAAAAAATGAATGAGATTTTGACGAAGGTTTTTTTTGAGGATCAAGTCTGTCAGTGACTATGTGACGAACAATTTAGTCAATATCGCGCGAAAGTCTGTCAGTGACAATGACAAATCTCAGCACTGGTTCAGGGTTTTTCGCAGTTTGTTTCCATGAAGTTTTAGGGCAATTTATACGTTTTTTTGGCAA